AAATATGTGGAGGAGATTATCTCGTTTTGCGGAAAAATACTTCTGAAACCACGGTTTTGGGATACCCAAACAGGCCCTTACTCGTTTGAGGTATAATGTGATGATTTGGTTGATGAAATTTTCTCTTTTTTAATTGACTAAGGTTGCGGTTATGTTTGTTTAAGCTATCCAAAAAAAAAAAAGAGAATATATATGTACTTTAATTTTACATAAAAATAGATAAATAAATTTAAAATGTTAAAACTTGATTTGAATAGTTTACAATTGTAGAACATTAACTTTTTTTTCCCCACTTCTTTCACTATAATCATGACGTTATAGGAGGGATAAGGGAAGTAAAGGATAGAGGAGATGATTTTTTTTAGTTTGTGAAATTTATTTGATTTTGATTTTAATTCTTTAAATTTGATATAATTTTTGTTTTAGGGTTAAAAATATTTAGGCAGATCAAAATTAAATTATATTTTAGAGACTAAAATTACTAGTTTTGAATTATAGGGATCAAAAGAAGTCATATTTTAAGATACTAAAAGTTGTGTTTATTAATCTATATACTTAATTAATTCACTTTGTAGTTGTTTAGTAGAAGGCAAAATAATTCACTTTAGATAAGATCATAGCAATAGGAAGAAAAGTTGAGAGGAAAGAAAATAGGACGAGAGAAAATAAAGAAAAGAAAAAAAGTAGACAGAAATTGTTATGATCCTTCTTACTTAGATGGATGAGAGAAAATAAAAAAGAAAGAAAATTAGCAAATACCTAAATAACTAAAATGTCCTTATCATATTTAAAATTAAATTAAATTAAACATTGCAATAAAAAAATTATACTAATATTAGTATCATCAAATAATTTAAAATCAAGTTATTTGGTTTATATACATTTTCAGATTATTATGTTTTAAAACCAAATTAAAATAAAAAATAAAAAGTCATAGAAATCTTGTTTTCTTTTCCAAATCTCTCTACATATAAAGAGAAAATTTGAAGGAAAAAAAAGGATGTTCTCCTCCACTTTTTCTTTTTTTCATGTTTTCTTTCCTATCCAAATAAAAAAAATCTTGTCTTTTTTCATATTTTTTTCTCTAGTTTTTTCTCCCTTCTAATTTTCTTTCAATCCAAGGGGTTAATCCTTTCCCCTTTTTTGGGCCAACGGATTCTTAGTAAGGGGGTGTTTGGATAGAAACTAAACCATGATTTCAGAAGTACTTTTACAGTTTACGAAGTAAATATATAGAGAAATTTATCTTGTTTTACAGAAAAGTGTTTCTAAAATCATGGGTTAGAGGTTGCTAGGCACCCTGTAGGTCACAGCCTAAGATTCGTTCATGAAGTTGGGCTATACGACATGTCGCTTTGTGACGCCAAATAAAAGTCTGGAAATCGCAGCCTGACGCAAAAGTATTCTGCATTCAGATCATCAAATGGCTAGAGACAGCTGCCTCACTCGCGTCACCACCGGAGCCGCCCTTGGCGGTGCTATCGGCGGCGCCGTTGGTGAGTCTCTTCCTTGAGTTTTTAGACATATCTCTGATTGGAAGGCCCTTTTGCCTTGTTTGGTTGTTGAGTATCCTGAAGAAAAAGAGTCGCCTTTCTTATTGCGTTCTGTTATCGAAGCCAGACTTTTGGTCATTAGGTTAAATTAAGTATCATAGATAATAAATAATGCTTTAGGTTTCTTTATTCTGTAATAAACTATCTTTGTTATTAGAGTAGTTTCTTTCTTTCCTTCTTTTTCTGCAGTGTAATTTATTGAACCATGTGTTTGTAGGTGCCGTCTATGGAACATATGAGGCTGTTAGGTATAAGGTATGTATTTATTCATATTTTTTGTTGGTTTATTTTTCATCATTCGTTATCGGTTTATTTGAAGTGTTAATGGCAATCAGAATTTGTGATGTGTTGTTTGACTGTGCCATTCATTCGTATCTGTATGTGTTCAAGCTACAAGGTGACAGGTCGCATTTTAAGTAATGCAGATATCCATTAGGCTTATTCTTTTCCTTGTTCAAATGCCACAATACTTTCATAAAATGAGCGATAAAGAAAGCAAGGACTTGATGAAATCTGAGAAAACGTATAGTTATTTTGTTTGGCGTACCAGAGAATACGATTTGGTAATTTTTTATTTCAAAAGCAAAATCACTGAAAAATCAGTTCTTTTCAATCCAGTTGCTGCCAAGTATCTCCTGACATGGCCAACCAAAGCAGAATAAGGATCTTACTAGGTGTCTTTAAACTTCAAAAGGTGCAAGTCAAGAATATATTTCTGGCTTTCTGCAGGAAAAGTGGTTATGATGCCAAGAGCCCTTCGTCTGAAGTCTGGCCTTTTACCTATCTATTTTGCTTTCTGCCTATTGAATTCCCTATTCATACCAGCTTACTCAAGTAGTCGAGTTAAAACAAAAATCTTAATCTCACAAATCCTTACCATCGCCCTATAAATTTGCCCTAATGTCTATTAAACCTAGGACTGCTGTATGCTTGTACTGGTGGCAGCACTGGAAACCTGGGAAAGCAACTTAAATCATTCAGCCTACGTCTAGGTATTCGGCCTAATTAAAACACTCTCTCAGTATTTCTTAATTCTTATGTGGTTAAATTTCAGAACAGATGCCTACAACAGGGGGGGAAAAACTTAAAAGATGAGGATTCTAACTTCAAAGCGATTCAAGCATCCACATCACAAAAGACTGGAACCATGTGATGGTAAGTTTGGGGTGGGTTGTGGGTAGAGGAAGCGTAAGTCCTTTTGATGTAACCAAAAAAGATGTAACTCTCTTGACTTTTGTGAGGAAAGCAATGTCACCAATTACCAAGATCAATATTTACGAGAATTTGTAGCTCTCATGTATTTGAAGTTTTTAACGATAGGCAGAAACCTGTTAAAACAAACCCCCTGCCCCAAAAGAAGAAGCTAAACACCTTTTTCTTTCCAAACATTGGTTAGAGGATTTCAAACATTCTTCTATAGCACACTAATATGGCCTGGTCTGGAGATGTAGTTTTGTTTCAGATGGTGTATCTATGATTTCGTCAAGAAATCTTTGAAGTTTGGAAGTCTATTTAATTACAACGGAGATTTCAATTCTCATCTTGTTTTCAGTCAATAAAATTAAAGTATATTCTGTTGACGATATCACCTGATCTGTGAATGGAGCGGGGGGCAGTCCCATATATTGCTTCAAAGATATCACCTGGGGGTCATGTTATTTGCTGAGCGGAATGTAGTGCTGCACTGTAATTACCCAGTGGGAGCCTTTCAATCTGCTGCTTATCTAGGCAGCAATTCTGAACCTCTGTTTGGTTATCAGTTTAGCAGTGGTGCTCTGCTGAAATGTGTGGCTTACTTTTGAAATGGCTTAGATATGAATATGATCTTGAACCATGCAGGTTCCTGGCCTCCTAAAGATTAGACATATTGGGCAGACTACTCTGGGAAGTGCGGCTGTATTTGGTTTGTTCCTCGGTGCTGGTAGCTTGATACACTGTGGACGGTAATCATGTTCTTCAATGAAGAATTGATCTCAGCCCTCATACCCTCTTTCCCTCTCATTTCTCAACTCTTTGATTAGTGTATGCTCTGCAATTTATTTTAACCTAGGAAGATAGAATACTATCGGGCTCCAAAATAACTTAATATCTGGATTGTTGCTTGGAAAAGCTGTGGTTGGTATATCTCGTATTTTCTCTCGTCAGAGCATCAGAATTTCTTGTGCTAAAGTGATGCGTGATTTCATATATGGCAATTTATGGTGTTGAATATGTGGCAATTCTCATTATGTTTGTCTTAGATGGTCTATACTAGTCATGCGGAGTTAGTGCGCCTAGTTTGAGTACAACAAGCATTATATTTTTTTTGGTTAACTAATTTTTCACAGTTGAAGTTGAACACATGTAATAATATTCGGGTAGCATCACTCGTATTTTTTTTTTCTTGTAAAAGAATCTACAAAAATTGTAACGAAAAAAATCTATGAAAACGGAGCAATTGTGGAGTGATCACTTTTTTTTGGGGGGGGGGGGACCAAAAAAAAAAAGGAGCTTGTTTTCTTGCTCCGACCGGTTGAGATGACTGAGCGGAGAACAAAACCAAATAGGCGTATTTCAGTCAAATATCACAAGTTTATTGAGACCCATCCCGAAGTGTGTGTGTATATAATCACTTATAATTATTCCTCTGATCCTTAATGTAAAGTAGGATATAGTTCGAAAGTTAATTGTGGTTCTATTTGTAAAATTTATTTTATATGTTTGTTATTTTTTTTTCCAAATTAATCCTCTTAGTATTTGTTGAACAATAATCAAGTACGAGAGAAGGAATTAAAAAAGATGTTTAGGGTGTTTTAAGAAAAATATATCATATTAACTAATTTAACTAATATTTTTAATCTATTTAAATTAGTTAATTAGGTCTTATTTTAAATACCATGAGTATTAACTAATGGATCAAGTGTTTAAGATCGGACCCCACAAAAAAGAAAAAAAGATTTTGGCTTATTAAAATATAAGAGGGTTATTGGGGTGGAGATAAGGGACGCGTTGAAAATGAATACATCCACATGCTTATCCCAAGATTCTCCCAACAAAGCCTGTATATTTAATCATCCAACAATCGCACAACAATGAATATAGATTTGTAAATCTATACGCCACGGTTAGAATCAGTCTCCTCGCCATTTTGACTCTGCAGGCTGCAGCATATGCATCCATATGCTTGTTTTTTCTGTCATGGTCCGTGTCCCCAGCCCTGTTCTCTCATGAAAAATGATTAGGACCATAATTTGCCTTTGAAATTTGAACAGGTGAGGAAATGGCAGTAATGCTTGTGTGCAAGACTAGTAGTTCATGAAGTTTATACATAAGCGTCCAGAGCATTGTACCTTTCGTTTATTTATCATCATGAGAGAAGCCGTTGGCACTGTCTTTGAAGTCCCTGGCCACCTGCTTCTATGCTCAGCTGGAACCTTGGCATTTGTCAAAGAGCCTTCCAAGAAGAACTTAGGGAGAGATTTCCTCGTTAGGATTCATGAATCGAATATCCTCCATTCTAGATTTCTGTTTGCAGACATATATTCCATTAGCTTTTGCCCATGTTTGATTTTTTCTGTGACGCAGTGTACAGCAAATCTGCATCTTGTTCCATTCATCCTCTAAAGCTACTCCCCTTGGTTTATCTTCATGAATAAGGTTTTGCAAATCAAACATCAAGGTATGCTGAGATGTTATTCTTCCATAAACCCTGTCTTCGATTATAGATTCCAGCAATTCACCATTCACATAGACTGTACCATTTAGAACAAGCTCTCCATGATGTCCAATATCACTTTCTCCCCCAAAACATAGAGCCATGTTTGGGAATTTGTTTCGGAACCAAAAACAAATGGAATGGCCTTCAGTGTAGTGGTCCCATTCTGGCATTTTGTCCTCTAACATAACAAATTTCAGGCCATCAACCTCACGCAGTGCCTGTTGCAAAATATTATAAGAAACAAAATTGGTGTCTAAGAACAGTGTTACTGTGACATGTAATGGGGATTTGGTGAGAGTGAATGAAATTATAGAATGGAATATCTAAAATGAGAAAAGAGATAGATACAGAATAATAGGCCTCCCTTTTAATCTGTGGAACTCACCGTTCTGTATTTCTCTCTCCTTACTTCAAGTAAAATTATTTTAGGGATTCATGTTCATGAGATTTAAAATGCTCTTATATACATGGTTTCCTACGTGCATGAAACCAGCTAGACCAATAAGATGAACTTAGATCTAGAGTGAGTCAAGGAAATGCCAAATCTTTTTAAACTGGATGCACAAGACATAAAAGTGAGTCTTTTTATTCGACTGAGAGAAAGTATTGAAGAGCGAGACCTTCAATTGTGGTTTAACTTGGATCATTTTAGACATATGACACTTGGATCATTTTAGACATATGACTTGAATGTAAAATAGGAATTTCAAATTTTTGTGCGATTATGTAAACAATGCAAAAATGATTTCCACCTTTATCAAGTCTTTTTTTCTTGTGTAGAACCCTTGTAACTGAAGTATAAAAATGGTATGCCTGTTTATGATTCATGTGAGTTATTAAGTACAATACCATTTAAATACTCCTAGTAGAGGGGGAAACACTAGACCAATGCAGGACAAACAGAACATCTAGACATAACATAATTGTGTTTCATTTTATTTTCAAGTCACGTTATTTTGTCAAGATGATTTTCTTTCTTTCTTTTTTTTTTTTCATTTCACAGATGTTAGCATCAATTTCTTTTCAAAGTCAGCCATTATTAGATTATCATATAAAGGCATTAAAAAAAAAAAAGTAATAGAGAGAAGTACCTGACTCAATAATATACTACAAGACTCTGAACCCAGGTGTTTGTCGACTACGTCCAATTCTTGTAAGTTTGGTGGGATTGCTCTAAATTCTTGAAGGTGTTCGCAATTTGAAAGGTCCAAGTATTGTAACCCAATCAGGTTTTTGAATGACAATGGCAATTCTTCTATGCCACTATGATCCAAACGAACATCTCTTATATTTTCCATTGTTTTTAATATTTCTGGAAATCTCTGGAGACTGGAGCACCATGAGAGGTCGAAAAATTCAAGGGATGTTAATGAGATGCTTGGAAATGTCTTGAGGTTGTAGCAATAAGTAACACTTAACCTTTCAAGTTTATGAAGAAATCCAATAGAAACATGGACTTCATGTAGATTCTCGCAAAAATCCAAACACATTTCCTTCAAATTTGGGACTCCAGATAAGTCAGGCAGTTCTGTTATAAATTTACAACCCCTAAAATCCATTACACTCACGGACGGGAACCCCTGCAAAGCAAGATTAAAAAGATTAACTAATCTTGATAATCAGTAATCACAACATAGAACATTAAATAGCACAAAGCTTACAATGACACTAGGCATGCTACGAACAAAATTTAAAGGATCTACTGCAATTTAAAAGTTTCATGTTGTGCTTAATGTGTGTGTAATATCAGCTTAAAGCGTTTCTGCTTCAAAATAAAACATAATAATACATAACCGGAATATTGTACATGCCTTGGGTGGTGAATTCAGTTTAAGGGAACTTTCAGGCATCCTGAGGATAACTAGTTCCTTGGGACAAAAATCAAATGGAAAGGAGGGATAAGTATATCCCTTCCAGTCTAGCAATCTCAAACTGTTAGGGAGATGCTTGGGACCTGTGGAAAATCTTGCATTTCTAACAATAAGCATCTTAAGATTTTGCATCTTTTTGAAGGCCAATCCACTCCAATTGATCTCCTTTTCTCCAGGCATGTGCAGATTTATGGCTTCAATCTCCCCAGTTCCCTTCCAAACCAAACATATATATGTCAACAGCAAAACTTATTAGATGTGTTAGGAATAGAAATAAGCTTCAGCCACCAAGGTTATCTTGAGCATATCTTAACTGAAAATAATAAATACTCTTCCAGTGCTTAATATAGAACCCAATTGTTGAGTTAGTTTTGATCCTAAATATAAGACCTATTTCTCATATTTATTATTTTTCTCTAAATTACCCCTATAGATATTCCCTCAACCATAATCAAGTAGAAGAGGAAGAGGGATATTGAGAAAGATAATTATGGTATTTTAGAAAAAACGTATCACATTCTTCACCTAAAAAAAAAAAAAACGTGTTACATTTCTTATAATTAATTAACTTACCTAACTTCCTTAATCTAATCAAATTTGTTAAATAGGTCTTATATTAAGGATCGAAGGAATATTAGTCAAAAAATATAAATGTGGATGAATCTTAACATACCTTGTTTCCCTCTAAAACTTGGAGAATGTCTTCATGAAACCACAATCTAGAGCGTTTGCCTAGTTCAGTTGGTGATTGTTGCCGAATAATTTCTTTACCCATATCTTGAATCAAATCATGCATTGTCACAAGGCCATTGTCAATCTTTATGAGGCATTTATCAATCAACACCTTAACACCATAATCTGGGCATATGCCACGAGCATACAGAGCACTTGTGACATATTCCAAGCTGTCACCTTTAAAGCAACAAGCAATATCAAGAAAAATTTCCTTCTCAAATTCGTCCAAGGCATCATAACTCATTTTGAGTACCTGTTGGATCTCTCTGTTGGGAATTCTTCGATAATTATCTAATGCAGAATTCCAATCATTGATTCCTCTATTGAACAAGTTGGAACCTATAACTTCCAAAGCCAATGGAAGTCCACCAGCATAGAGTACTACATTGTTTAACATGTCCATAAAACTTGGATCAACTTTATTTTCTCGAAAGGCACTCCATTTAAGTAGTTTAAGAGCTTCATTTTCATTTAAACTCTCTACTTCGTAGATTCTTTCAACACCATGTCTTGCTAGTAAATGTTTATCCCTTGTTGTTGCAATGATTCTACTTCCAGAACCAAACCAATCAAGTGCCCCAGCCATGGCTTGCAATTGCCTTGGCTCATGAACATCATCAAGAACGAGAAGAATTTTCTTTCTGTGAAGCCTCTGTTTCATTATTGGAATTCCTTGATTGATGTCAACGAAGTTGAAATCTTCCCCAACCAGTTTAGAAAGAAGCATTTTTTGGAGGTATGCTAGGCCGTGCTTTTGTGAATTTTTGCTGACATTAGCAACAAAGCAAAAGGCTTCAAACATATCAGTAATTAAATTGGATACTGCTCTAGCAATTGTTGTTTTGCCTATTCCACCCATTCCACAAATCCCTACCATTAGGACCCCTTCATTAGATTCAACATCTAGAAGAGATATTACTTTGCGCACTCGACACTCAAGTCCAACTGGATAATCAGCAATGTGTAAAGGCTTGCAGTTAATCCTCCTACAGACCTCTTTTACAATCCTTTCAATTAAATCACATTCATGTTCTTTCCTGTCCCATCACAAAATGTTATGAAATATTAATTTCAATCTAAATATTTTACTAAAATTTAAAATTCATTCCAAATGCATCAAATTAAACACTTGAACCCAATGCACCCGTTCAAATATAACACTGGCACTGGATTTTGCTGCGTCTATACTTCTTGAAGTTTCCTAGATATTAATATAGATGATACCAACTTCAAAGTAAACTAAGCCAAAATAAGAACATGCTCCTTTCCCCCTCATGAAATGCATATTCTAACAAGGCCTGATTAATGTTTGACTTTTATCGAAAACGAAATGAACAACTATATCTGACAAAATGTGAGCCTTTTAATCACCTGAAATTTTTTAGTTGAGTTGTAATTTGTATCAGTGTTTAATGTTTCTTAGCCTTTGTTGCATGTTAATATGATAGCAACTATCATCTATATCAAAAGGATAGGTTAAATTTGCAAAGCAAAACAAGGGTGAAGCACTCAAATACCCAGGTTTGAAATAAAAACCAGCAATATCAGCAGCATCTCGCAGAGCCTGCTTCCATTTTTGCGCCTTCTTCTGATCATTGTTGAACCTCTGCTCATGTTGAGTAAATGCTTCTTTGTAGTTTCCTCTTTGATGTCGCACATCCGATGGTTCAACATCATAGAAAATTCGCAAAACCAGCTGACCTTTTTTCTGTCTACACTCAAGGATGTGAACAAGCTCATCTTAACAAAATGTCGAAGAAGCATAATTCTTGGAGAAAATTGTGACAGCTATTGTAGACTCTTGGATTGCTTTAAGAAGAGATGGAGTAATTCCTTCTCCTCTTCTAAGCCCCTTGTTGTCTATAAAAGTATGAATGCCCTTTTGATGCAGAGCTTTGTAGAGATTTATGGTAAAATCAAAGCGAGTATCTTCACCTCTAAAATTAAGAAACACATCATAAGTCCATCCATAGATGGGAGAAGAGGAGGAAAATAGCGATTGCTCTTCCATGATAGCTAATTGAAGTGGATGTTATGATGCAGGTTATGAAGCAGAATCTTCACTGACGAAGTATTTTGCTTATAGTCTGTTCTTTAGCAATGGCTTTTAAAGAAAACCATGGTTGAATATTAAGCAACTACCTAAGCATAACTAATATTTTAATCCCTTTATTGTTCTTAGTAAAACAAAATTATATGTATAATATAATAGACAGAAAAGTTGGTAGGACACCAGCTCATGCAAAAATATATAACTGTCTTTAGTCAACAGTCAATACTTCAAGGATCTGTTTAACTTGATTTGTTATTTCAAACATATAATATTCATTTAGTCTAAAAATTATTGCTCATATCTAGTATTACTTTATTTAGTTTTGAATTTTATCACTGTATACATGCAACTAGATATGATTTTTTGTATTTTTAATTATGTTGTTCATAATTTATGAATAATATTGCTCGTTGTGACAGGAAAAATGTGTCTCTTTAATATTTTATATAATATATTGACATATTAAAATATTCACTTCCCATTTTTTTACTCATATATATAGAGAATCTTTTTTGCCATCTTTTACTCAGAGAATTAATGAATAGTAAGTAGAAGAAATTTCAATGATTAAATCTTTTTTTTTTTTTGGGGTGACAGTTTCAATTATTAAATCTTGTAATACTAATATATTGATTTCAAGGTCTTGTTTGGTTGTGTATTTATCTAAGCCTTGCCACGCTTAAGACATGGTGTTTTTTTTTTTTTTAATTGTTGTTTGGTTTTTGTTCCAAATTTTAAGCTAGTCCCTTAGCAACCAATTATGATGCACTACCCATATGATGGTCTTAAAAAATTAACAATCAACTATTGATTTCACATGACCCCCAGGGAACACTTGTTAAATTATGAAAGTTAGGTCAGCCAAATATTTTAATCCCTTGTTTTGGAGAAAAATAAGATGAACATGAGAGGAAAATACTCTGCCAACCAGGGGACAAAGTCAAACTCCAAGAAGGATTTTTAAAAATCTCTACTCTTAAAGGGTTAATAAGTAATATTTTTTTGTCTATCCTTTTTCCCTTTCCTGTTCTCTTGTACAGATAACAAGTTTCCATTAGCTATATGATTTACGAATTTGGATAATTCATTTTAAGGATTTCGTTATTGATAGTATTGAACTTTTCTCTTGTAATCTTCACACTTCTAGTACTAGTTAGACTTGGAAGCTGAGTTGCTGAAGAAAAATTATTGATAGTTCGCGCTGCTATGTTTCTTTTTCGTATAGCAAGAGCTTCATATAAGAAGCTCAATTAATATATACAGGGTTTGCCGAACCCTTTCCCCCATGAGAGCACGACTAATAGATCACTATTATTAGTAATGATTAATTATAATTTGGACAACTTTTGATGTATGGAGGGTCTAATTAGGAAAAGAAACTGTGTTATGTCACAAGAAGGCAAGTTTATCTTTTTTCCAAGTGTGCAACCTCTATTATTAGTGATGTGTTTGTATTCATGGAAGATCGATCTAATAATTCAGAAACAGCTTCCTGGTTACAATTTATGAATCCAATAGCTTACATTGTGTCCTTCTCTATCCAGAGTAATCCAAGAACAAATTTAGATGAACCAAGTGACAAGACAAACATTCATACAATGGTTCTTAGCATTTAATTCTTAGTAACAGCTCGGCATTTTCCTTCTCATTCATCCTTTCTCATCCAACGGGGAGAGGGAAGAGAACGTGTGAGAGGAGGTGGGACCCATGTTGATAGATCTCTGATCTCTCCTGTCCCTCTGTCTTTTTCTCAATTCAGTAATGGGTTTGGATAGAAGGGACATGACTGCATTGTGGCAATTGTATTGGATGACTTTGAAGTTGACGTGGGGCCACTCCATTTGACGCAGGACTAGCTTAGCAAAACTGTCTGGATTCAGGGAAGATCCTTTGAATAACTCAGGGTCTGCTTTGTGGCTATGATTTATGAATCGAATATGTTCCATTCTGGATTTTTGCTTGTACACATATACTCCACACCATT